TTCTTGGGTTTCAGCTTAACTCTTATGGTGGCAGTGTATTGCACACTCGTATTTCTTTCTTTTTCTTTAATAAATCACATCTCTCCTGCACTTAGCCTCTGACCAAAACCTGTCTGCTTGAACTGCAATAAACCTGACCAGTCAGTGATGTCTCTGCTGAAAGCAATCCCCTCCAACCACGCCATGCATGTATGTGCTGACCTCCAGGCTACCACATCCCTACCCACCCCTCTAGCTCCAGGCACCTGGTGGGGAGTGGAGGCTCTGGGAGCAAAGGGAGGCAGAGACTGTAAATCCACATTTGCATAGCTGTACATCTGAGGCATGGGGATTTGCCGGAGCTGGGGCCAGAATGTGCGAGTTCTGCTAGAGTCTATCAGATTTGCAAAGTACAGATGTGATAATACCACTGCAACCACAATAGAATTTACAACAGGAAGTGTTGCAGCTGTTGCTTATTAGCATTAGTGCAAATTACACAAAGTAAATTGTTAGCAGACATGTTTCCATAATATTTAACTCATGGCAGTGAATAAAAGTGATTATTTTTCAAGCGAAATTTTAGATTTTGAAGGGAATCAGTTTCCAATTGCCCATGAAGGGAGCATGGATTAGAGAGTAGCATGCAACTCTTGTGAAGCACCAGAGCCAATGTGTGCAGCAACTTGCCTGCTTTCTCTGGTGAAAGTGTGTGAATTTGGGACCATATTTCTTGGTGAGAGAAGGAAAATCCAAATGGCTCCACATGACTCAATCACAGGTGACAGGGAGCAGTGGTGTGTGGGTCCTGTTCAGAAGTTGCCGCAGTAAGGTTCTGCACATGAAAGCGGTTGGAAAGGGAGGGAGGCTCTTGCTGACCTGCCATTTCCCTGAATTTTTGTTCCCAAAGTGCTTTTAATGACTTAGTTCCCTAACAGCCCCAAGCCTGTTGATGTGGAAGCAGCCCATGCCAGCAGAGCAATCCCCTAGCACAAGCTCTAGAGGGTGGATTTGGAATCAAAATCCGCACAGCAACAGGCTGAATGTGCATTGTGAAACACTGGGGTGTGACCCATGAACGACTGACAGCAAAATCCCCTGGACCAAAACCCTGGGCACAAGGCACAATGCCTCTCTACAGCCAAACCAGTTTCAAACTAGGGTAGTGGCTGGTTTTGTTCCTACCATACCTGCCACCCTGCTGGGCCAGCCGGTGGTGGGCAGCCCATTTGGGCACCTCCTTTGGGCATCTCCTCTGCCTCCCTGCTTGTCACATAGGGAAGAGCCAAGCAACCAGCCCTGACTGGGAGAAACCTTCCCTCTTGGGAGGGAGGCTGCAGTTCAGAGAGGGGGAATGACCAAAAAGCATTTAATACTAATTAATAAAATTAGGGCATTTAATTCTCGCCTCCCTCCCCAGTGACAAGGCAGGACCAGTTGCATTCTGGTGGAAGTCTGATCCTAGAAATGCTCCTCCATGGCGTGAGCTGGAGGGGTCACCCACAGGTTCCTGATGTCTTTTTCCAAAGAGAAGCCACTGAAAGGAAAAAAGAGAGACACAGAGGAGGAGTGGGGGTAAAGAAGGCACTAACTAATTAACTGAAGGGTTTAGTGTATATTTTGGGGAGGTAAGAGCTGACAAATTGCTGCCTGAGCTTGCTTAGAGTGCCAAATGGTACAGCCAGGAAGGGTGCACCTTTTGGACATGAAGGGGCCATGGGGTGGCTGTGCCAGGGCTGGAGGAAAGGCCATCCATTACTGCTGGAGTAGGGGCCAGGCTTTGGAGCTGCTCCCTCTCTAAATTTGTACACCTGCTCCCACGCTGTCCTTTCATCCTGCCTTGCTCAAGCAGCGCTGGTTGAACCAGAGGATGGTATGTGCTCTTGCCACTAGTTCAACAGAGATATCTTTTCATGCCAAAACTTCATTAGCCATTTTCTTACTGTTTTGCTGATTGTTGCTGGTTTTGCTGATAATGTTCTACTTAATCTCTCACAGACATCCTTTCTTTAAGAAGGAAAGAAGCGAAACTCATGAAGACTGCTGACAACCCATAGAAATTCAGCAATCAGTTTAAGGGCAATAACAGCCCAGAGTGATGCTTTACATGCCAGTTCCAAGAGCGCCTGCCTAGGTTAATCATGTGGAGCAAAGCTGCTAACACTGCAAAGACCACCGCACTCCTCAGCCTACGGAGTAAGACAGTGGACTTGGAGAGATGGAGGCATTCCCAGAGGCATTTCTTGAAACTCAATTGGGTCTGGCTGGGGAAGGAGGCATTTGTTGGTGCAGGAGAAGAGGACATGACAGCAGGTGGACAGAAGGTGGTATGGGTTGCCTGTGACAGAAGCTGAGCTGGTCAGCCACAATAGATGCAAGAGGATGGTCTTCCTGGAACCTGTGCTCCTGATGCGCTGTAACCATCACTCATGCAAGGGAAGAGCTCTCTGCATATCCTTGGACTTTGCCTGCTTGCTTTTTTTTTTTTTTTTAGGTGAACGCTCATGAAGTTTTGAAACTGCCTGAAGCAACCAAAGTGCCTTTCGAGTGAGCTGTGAGTGCCTAGGAGTAGAAAAGAGGCACATGTATTGTTTGCAAGGATATGCACATCCACCCACCTGTTGGGAACAGCTGAAAAATACAACTGTGTTGGCTGCAGTCTGAAGCGAGAGAGCTGAGAGAGCTACGAAGGGAATAGCAAGTGATTTGTATAAGCAATGTCTAAAGCAGCAGTTAATGGAGAAGCAGCTGACATGCATGTTCTGGCTCTTTAGTGCTTATTCTGAGGAAATGACCTGACACCCTCGGCGCAGCAGAGCTGCTTAACTACCCTCTCTGACAAGAACTGAAAACGAAAAATTAGTTACAGTTGCAATATTCCTGCAGTAATGTTTGCGTCCTAATTGCCTTTCAGTGCAAAAAACAAAAAAGAAAACAAAACCATCCAGTGAGGTCCTGTTGTACCTGCAAGTGTTATAGCAAATGAGATAGCACCACTGACTGCGTACATCAGATACGCGTACATGGAAACTATTCCAGCATATTAAATGCATGAACATCATTGCCACCATGGGGTCTTTAAATACTGTGTTTGTATTATCAGCCCTCTCAGTTGTAATGCCTGAAGTAGGGGTGGAGGGAAGGGGTGAGACGCTGAACTGAATGGGAAGGATTCTTGCTCAGGAAACTCCATAGTTCTGGGTTGGTTTTTTTCCCACTCTCAGAACAAAATGTGAGCTTACAGATTCTCTGGGAAAATACAATAAAATGCAAAAATCTTCTTGGAACAAAAATGTTCCATTTCCAAAATGTCAAAATGATGTTTTGACATTACCAAAAGCTGTAGTTTCAGTTAAATAGAATTTTACATTAGAAAGTGACATGCTTTTATGAAGAGTTTTGATTTTGACAAAGTGGGATTTTCTAGCATTGAAGCCATCTGATAAAGTCAAACCAGATCTGCCTATTGATATGCTACAGCAAGGTGGGGTTTAAGTGGAGGAATTAAAATAACCTTTTTCAAAAAAGGAGAGGTTGACTAAGTTCAAAGTTATGGGAGGAGAGGGAAGAGGATGAAAGAAAAAGATTGAGGACTCTTTGCAGGTAATACTATTAATACAGCAATTTTTGTACATATTTTGGGGATCTTTGTGGGGAATAAAACCTTTTTTTTAAACAAGTGTTAAGAGTGAAAAATGTACTGTACAGGTTTGATGTTGATGTGAAGACACTTCTGCCTCAGACAAAAAGCCAAACAGATTTCCATTCTTTACACCACAGACACAAAGTGATGCAGGTGGGTTTTACGTTCCAAGCATCAGCACAGTTATGGTTCGGTATATTTCTTCACTTGATAGTATACATCTTTTCATTTAACACATTTGTTCAGATATTCGTATTAAGGTTGCTTCAGCGTGCCAAAAGGATTTGCTGAAAGCTGGTCAGTCCTGTAGAGATCCAATCCTGCAAACATATGCAGACAACTTTTTTAGTGTGGGGAAGTAGTCCCCACATGTTTAGTGAAAGTCTTGTGGAATACGGTTTCTCATATTACAAAGTATTTTCAGGATTAGGCCTTGAACAGGTACCTTTTTGTAGGAGTTCTAGTCTAGAAACATGCATCAAGTTGAATTTTATTCCATGAGGTATTTTTGGTCTGTTCTACATAAACAGGGGCAGATGATCTCCTGCTTATTATCAGGACCCCATTTCTTAATTCAGTTGAGGCTAGCTCTAAAATAACCTGCACATCTTGCAAACACTTGCTACCTCTCCTTGTCACACACTAAGGTTTTAAACTGTATGGATGTGTCCCTTTGTAGTCCTCCTTCGGAAGGATGAAAAGGAGAGCACACCTATGCCACTGATTACTTCCTCAGCCTGAGACACGTCCTCTACCCCTTGGCTACATGGAATATCAGTGTGTACCTTTAAGATATGAGTGAGACCATTATTTTTGATCCACTTGAGAGGGAAAGCCTGACACATCTGCTACAGCTGAAAGGCACAGCGCAGTCGGAAACCAACCCTACAGTGTCCACCCTGGACCTGACCACAAGGTGCAGAGGTGTGCCCTGCATTGCCAGCTCCTCACAGGGAGTGCTCCCACACAGCTCCCTCGATTTTTAAAATGCAAACAAAACCAGACCCAGAAATTCTGCTTTTTCTTAGAGTGCCACAAACTGTACACCAGAGAGGAACGGCTCACGGAAGGGAGCCCATAGCTGAGAGCGCCAGACATCGTGGGAGCCATCCACCCCCTCTTCAGCGTAATGGGAAACATCCTGTCAGAAACACTCTCTGCATTTGGGTTTTTCTTGAATTAATTATCTGTAAGTGGTGACGGGCTTATCCTGCTGGGAGCCTGCGATTCCTTGTTGGTATTTACCGATGTGCTCGATAGCAGAATCAGGATGGTCAAAGCTCATCAGACAGAAAGCACCACGGCTTCAGAGCGCCAGGCTCAAGTCTATTAGGGCTGCTCCCTCTAGTGGGAAAAAGTACTTTAGCAGCAAAACCCCTCTTTTTCCCCTATTTTCTTTTTCTAACTTTCTTTTTCTTTTTAATTGAAGAATTCAAGTTTTCCAGATAGTGCAAGACATGGAGAAGTTCCCATCAGACAGTAAGTGAACAAACACTTCACTTTCCCAGCTCTTGAGCATCAGTGGTTGTTGGAGCTGGAGCCCATCTGATGCAGGTCAGCAGTTACTCCTCCAAGGTGGACCCTTGGCAAGTGTGGGACCCTTGGTTAGTCTTCCAGCAGTCCTCAGTGTATGCCATAGCTGTGTTTGGTTTTGATTTTCCACTTCTTATTACAAAAATAGGACTTACTATAATCATAATATTAATGATACAAAATAATTGTTATAATTATATACTTTTTGGCAAATTAGTAACACAAAGCATCCCAAAAGACCCCATTGGATTAAAAAAAGGTGACGATGCACAAATGTTAAAAAAGACAAAGTCCTTGTTAAAAAAGAAGGAAAAGCAATCTGCAAATGAATGCATTTCTGTAAGGCAACACGTTACCTTTAGTTTTCCATTTAGATTTAGGTCATATTCCATTGTTGTTCAAGAAATTGTTAGAACTTGGCTTGCTTGAGCTTATCGATGTGGTAACACAGTTTCAGCGCAGGTCCCAGTTTCAGCCCCAGGTATTTCATGATCATGTCACTTTTCAGCAGCAACAAAGCATTGCCATCAATCTCCTGGTTTCAAAAGAGAGAAAGAGAATGAGAATATGTTAACCCCCTTCCAGTGCTGTGTCCTGACACATTAAACAAGGTGAATCAGAAACAGCATGTGTTTTAGAGTAGAGCTAGCTGAAATGTCATGCATTTTGAAATTTCATTTAAAAAATTGAAATCCTAGGTATGACAGAATCAAGCTCTAATGGAGGGTTTAAGCAAGTACTACTTTTTATTCTTCAAGGAGTATAAGCTCACCTCTGAATCTCAGTTCCGGCTTTGTTCCTGGCTGTCTGCATGTTTCACCTGTCTCTAGTATACTTATATCCAGTGATGTATATGTTTCCTTTTCTTAAATTGAGGACAGTAATAACTTGCTTATTTCATTGGATTTATTAATAAAATTTCTTCAAATTCAATTTAAACCTCATGTGAGTGGTGGAAATTACCACCAAGTTCAACTGTTTATCCTAGACCTTGGCTGGCTTGAAAACCGTTTGAAATTACTGGCTGTACTGAGCACAAAGTAGCACAGGTGCACAGAGAAAACACATGTTTTACCATGGAATGTAAAACACAGAAGCTTTCAGTTCTCCTGTCCTTCCTTGGATACTAAGCTTGTCTGGTTTTTCCTGACTATATTAGTGGACCTCCTAAAATATATTACCTGTCCCCACAGTCTCCACCACACTTAACATACGTAGAGATCAGAGCTATGATCACTAGAGCTATGTATGTGTGTGTACATGTACACACTAATGCTGTATATATTGTATTCTGCAATTTTGATGGTCATATCTTTCCTCTGTGATCCATTACTTACTAATTAAGCAATACTATGGATCCTCATTTGCCCTGATCATTATTATTCCATTCAGTAGGTGATTTAGCTGATGAGCAGTTAAGGTCACTTTCTGATTAAATCAATCAATTAATGCTCTTCTTTTTGCAACCCTCACTTTATCCTTAATAGAAACTGTCTTCACCTTACCCCTCTCCTTCCCATTATTTTAAGGAAGGGAAGGGAAAGAGTAAGTATTACATGCAGTTAATATTTGCTTAAGAAAGAAAAAACCTCTTGTAACTGTGGTGCCATAGGGTAAAAAAAGTCAAGGGTTTGGTGCAGAGGCAGCTGTTTCTAAATGTTGAGTTCAGCATTTTATTATTTCTTTTGTTATTACTGTGTAGGGGTCAAAATTAAACTCCATGAAAAGAGTATGCCAGAGGGAGCATTCATATCCAATTAAATATCCCATATTAGCCATGTCCTGAGCAGATTGTTGGCTTGACTTCTCTGCAGTATTACTGTGTCAGCCCTTTTAAAAATAATTTAAAAAGAAGGATACTATAGCATGGTCCCCAAATCTGCAATAGCTCCCCCAAAAGATCTTGAACTAGGTCTGGAGCTGGTAAAATTCAATACCATCAGTGCAATGAGCTTGTTTCACATGAGCTGAGACCTGGCCCACTGCAAGTTAGAATATTGCAGGAGATTGTTGTTATCTTCCTGCAAGGGAGTGGACTCAGCATACGTATGAGAAGAATGAAAGTCCCCTTCTTCATGGGTGTTTAAGCACTTAATTCTGAGTGCAGTCAAAGAATTCAGGATCTATAGCCTGGCTGTGATATATATCACCCTTCTTTTGTATTGTGCAGTGTCATGAACAGACACCAGCCCTGGCAAAGCCACCATCTGTGACAGGGAGTGCAGCTACTGGCAGCTCTGTGGTCAGTGCTGAAACACTCGGAGATGGAGTTCTAGAGAAAGATGCACACTCGTAAGTCTGATGTCTAGCACTGGCGGAGACAGGTTGCTATCTGAATAAATTGGATTAATTATGTTAAAGGTTTTTGTCTCCTTCATACACGGATTTGCCAATCACTGGCCATAATTAAACTGTCAGACCATAACATTCCTTCGATCCCTTCCAGCTTCAGTTTTTCTACCTGCTAATTCCCCGTGTAACTCTTTCCCCTCCTCCATTTCTCTTCCCCAGTCTTTCTACTAAGTCTTTCTTGCTGTGAGAGCACTGCATGGGGCTCTCGCACAGTGCTGCTATGAGGTCCTGCCAGTCTGATGGGTCCTTTGCATGAGACCAAAAGATCAATCAGCTACAGGCTCAGCTCTCCTTGGCACACAGCCCTGCCGAGGGAGCAGGGAGCATCAGAGGGGAGGTAGTGGGCAGTTTCATGATCTTTGGTGGACTCTCTTGAGAGTCGCCTGTGACAGAGCTTTTGGCAAAAAGCTCCTGCTCCTGGTGGGAAGAGCAGAGACAGAGCCAGGCCATCCTGCAACTCCTGTTGCAGCAGTGGAAAATGCAGGCTGCGTGCTGGGAGAGCTGGCTCCAGAGACTGTGGACAGCACCCAAATTGCTTAATGTAGCACTGGGAAAGCACACTTCCTGCATGCAGGATACCTTCCCCAGCCTTTTCTTTCAGGTGGTCCCACCACCCTCTCCCTCCCAGTGTCATAGCTCAGATGAGCTGATTGCCAGTGCAACGATTTTAAGGGATAGCTGGGCCTTGTCAATGACAGTAAGTGCTTCTAAGTAAATTATGCACCTGCTGCATAGAAAGATTGAACATACAGGAAGATATGGCTAAGGTTAATGGACTAATCACTTGTCTCTCACCCCTGGGGTCTCCATGCTAATCCAGATGAGATTTGAAGGCTGAAAAATTGCAGGGACATATATAACTCAAAGGCGTAATTGAATTGAGTTGTGTGGTATTCTTACTCAGGATCTTACACCTATGGCATATTTTACAAGGAAACTGATGATAAGTAGAGGCCATGGGTGCTTGGTGTTCAACAAAGGATGACAGGGACAGTCTTTAGTGGCAATTTAGCTTGATCTCTTTGGTCACAGAGCAGCTGTGGCATACTCAAGTGCAGTTGGTCCATGGCTGCGTGGAGCATGTCACTGCCCTGTTGCTAGATAGAAGCATGCTGTGCTGTCCTTTTCTACAACTGGAAACTAGTCAAAAATGGTGCTTTTGCATTGTTCATATTAACAAGCTCAACTTTAAATGTTTCCTTTCTTTGGGATGTACCTATATGCCTCAGATCATGGCAATTCTCTCTCTCTTGAATGAAGTTTTCTCTTGATGTACAGACCCTTTTGATAGTCTCAAAAACTCATGAGTTTAACGCAAGTTCCTTTAAATCTGAAGGTGGCTTGTTTATCTGCCTGGTTACCCACATGGCCAATATAGACCATGTTTTCATTATCAGCTTACAAGGCAGATCTGACTTCTCTGCAGAAAGCAGGGAAAGTATGCTGGCATCTGACCTGTAATTGCAGATCTGGTCCTAGCACCGCTATGCATTGCCTGCTCTGTTGTTTTCATCCCACTGGCCTGTCTAAAGAATGGAAGATGTCTTCAAGACCTGCTTAGGGTGAGCAGACAACCAAGCCTGTGTTCATCTTTGTTTTCATTTGCTCCTCAGCTACCTCCTCTTCTCAGTATGTGGAAACCCTGCACCCAGGATGTATCTGGAAGTCCACCAGTTGTCGCCCTGAGCTCTTGTCCACAGCCTGCATTCCCACCTGTTCCTGCTGGCACATGAGCAAGGACTGCTCATGGACCTGGTGATCGAGCCCTCTCACTTGCTTTGTAAGCTGAGGTGCTGCTCAGGACTCAGGGCTAAGGAGTTCTTCTCATTAGACCTAGGTCGAGGCATTTACAATCCAAAGTTATGACCTCCAGCTGAACACAAGCAAGTCCTTTTTAGGGTAAAATTAATTTTCATAGCCAGACTGAATTGATCATGGGAGATGGAGGAGGAAGCTGAAGCTGCTATTAGACACAATGGTGCCAACTCCAGGTACAGCAGCAGAACAAGAAACTCTAGATCATGTGTCTGTTTACAGTCTTCCCCTTTATCAGTTAAGGATAATATCATTTCCACCACTGGAGACTGCCTAGCAAAAACAATCATCATATTCTCCAGTGAGTCAGTAGGTCTGTTAAATTTGGTTATGTAGTTACATAATACTGAGGGGAAAAAGATTAAAAGCTTAGCTGTTTGGGGTTTCTCCTGCTAAGTATCTGGAGACGCATAAAAAATGCTCTTCAGAGAAGAATCATAGGTATCCTGGGAAAAAAAATGTCACTGAGATGAGGCTTTTTTGTGCCAATCTGACAATGAAAAATGAGCAGATCCCCAGCACTTTCTCTTGGGCTTAGCATAGAAACAATTTACACTGATGTAGTTGGGAACACATAGTGAGCTTTTCCTAAAGACATTGTTAGGGTCCCCCCATTAAAGAATAAATAGCATAGAATGGAATGGAACAGAACAGAACAGAATAGTTGGAAGGGACCCACAGTGATCATCTGGTCCAAATGCCTGACCACTTCAGGGCTGACCAAAACGTAACGCATGTTATTAAAGGGGCATTATCTAAATGCCAAACACTGACAGGCTTGGGACATCAACCACCTCCCCAGGAAGCATGTTCCAGTGTTTGAACACCTTCTCAAGTGGTAAGTAGTATTTTGTCAGCCCAAAACCCTCTTGTAGTGCGGAAGTCCTTGAAGGGCCCTGTCTTCAACCTGTCTAAACACAAACACTGCCTATAGCAGCCAAAGTCAGCTGAGGGGGTGTGTGTGACATGTACTGGCTATCTCTTGGGACTGGCCATGCACTTGGCTTAAATTACCCAGAAGTAGTAAGAACAGCCTTCTACGTACATGTTTTCTGAAGAGCTCCACGTGGGGACCTAAAGCATGAGGATCTGCATCCTTCACAAACCAAACCACGTCATCCACTGTCCAGGTCAAGGGATTCTTGCTTGATGGCCGAGTTGCGTCTTGCTGTTCTGGTGAAGGACTTGAGGCTATCGGTACAAAAAAGCCCACAACAATGCATTACAATAGCACACAGCAGTTTCCTTGGTTCATGAGTGTGCAGGGGTAAGTCAGCCTCACTGCAGCATTGGACGTTGGAACTGTGCGTGCAAGTATCAGCCCGAGATGGGGACAGAAGGGGACTTGGAGCAGTTTCCATTCTGACTGCTTATCAGGAGACACAATCCCAGCTGGTGAATTGCGTTAAAAAACATGAAATCCTCAGGTTCCTGCTGGGGAAGGAAAAATGTGCCAGCTGCCAGGCTCTTAAACGGAGCTGCCCTGCTGTCTGATCTGCAAGCAGCAGGGATCTTGGCTCAAGAAGACACCACCCTCCCACCTGGAGAGAAAGTGCTTCAGCACTAAACAAAGAAGTTTGCCATTGAATATGAAGGCTAGAGGATAAAACCAGGATTTAGCAAACAGTTTTTTTCTGTGCATTCAGATATTCAGACTTATTGCTTAAAGGATGGTTTCTAGTCCGTATACACCTAATCTTACACTCTCATGAAGCTGATGGTCCCCAGTGAATGCCTATTTGGAAAGCTACTAAAACACGTGAAGATGTGCATTGCAGATGTGACTTTTTAATGGTATAAGCCCTGGATGATTTAAGGTCACTTCGGCTTGCTGTAGCTTTAAATCAAGTGAATAAAGGCACATTGGAATGAAAGTGCATTTATGTTTTTATTGCATTTATGTCTCTGCAGATTTATAAATCTCGGCCTCCACATGAATATAATTTGCACCCCACTGATGCTGCTTCACTATTACAAGAACTGTATTATGCTAGGTTACAGGAGAGCTGTTTAAATTTGTTTATATCCACACCAAGCAAACTTTGCATTAGTAGGTGGCAGCACACAGAAGTATAAAATTTTACTTGTCTAGACCTGCTTCTTTCTTTCTATTAAGGCCCAATTTTTAAGGAGAGAGTTGCAAATGGTAAGCAAGCAGACATTACAGAAGACAAAAAAGGAAACCGAAGAATGCAAGTAGAGAGAGAACGCAGATACCTAAACTGGAGCCTGGAGAAGCCCCAGGTAGCCAAGAAGGCAATCAGAGCTGCTGAGGAGAGAAGGGCTGAGCTCTCCAGAGAAATATTGGTCTTATACAGACAAATGAAATGTATGAGAATCCCCATGAGTGACTCAAAACACGATCCTAATGTGTGAGAGCAAATGTAGTGGGCTGGGTTTGTGGCTTATGTAGATTGTCATTCCATTGACTTCAGTAGAGCTGTGCTGATTTATATTAGCTCTGACTCTGCCTATAAATGCCAAATAATGGCTCTATGTGCATATTGGCCCTTTTTTTTCTTGCCACCATGCTTATTGTGTGGTATAATGCAATAAGGTATATTTTGCAATTACAAAGGATGAACTCCAACAGGCAGCAGTGCTATGAATGTGCAGATCTGGTCGATGGGCTTCATAATGGGATGTGATGTAAATATCATGATAATTACACTCTCATTTGCTAAGTCACTGTTCTGGATATAAAGGACAAGGAATAGCCGCAGGTCCTCTTAATTAGACAGCGAGGATTGGTGTTCGTATGGACTCAGGCGACCCTGGGCTCCGCTCACAGAATAAATGCAATACACAATGGTACAGACACCATCTGGAGCTTTTGGCATGAAATGATGAAGACAAAGAATGCAAAACGAGCAGGGTAATCTTGGCCAAGCCCTGGATCATCAGTAACATCGAGTAACTTTCTCAGGGACAAGTGGGAGAACTGAGACTTGTCTTGGAGGCAGAGGGGCGAATATTTCTCCCCTACCTGCTCTGCCAATGGTCTGGATGCCAGCTGTTGTGTGGAGATATTGGGCACCTCAGTACCTCAAAGTCAAGGTTAGGGAGAACACTAGGCTTTCACAAAGCAGCTGAAAGTAGAGTCGGGGAGAGAAAGGTTTGTCTGTGCCTAAAGGATTGCAGAAGTTTCTATGTTACTGTCGTAACATGGTTGGGGCAGATGTTTTGCCACTACTGAGGATCACAATTTTCCCCTTAAATCTGTATGAATGTAAGGAAAGCCCAGGGGGCTTAGCCTGGGATTTGCACCGCATGCAGAGAGATCAGCCCCCAGACCAGTGACTCCTGCCTGCAACCTGCTGCTTCCAGAAATGCCAAGAAAGGGCAAAGGGGAATAAAAAGCTTTGAGAGCAGTTGGAAGCTTTCACAGGTATTGGAAGTATCTATAATGAAAGGAAGAGGGGATGAGAAGAAGAGGTTGAAATAACAGGGGAATTCTATTCAGTCCTTTGCAATCTAGCAATCAATAGAAGAAATCTAATTTTTTTAAAGACAAATATATAAATGACCTTTCTAAAGAAATTGCATGACTAGAACTCTGCCAGGCTTTAGCAGGTGAAGATAATCCTCTCAAATCCCTACCAAAGCTATAATATAATAATATAAAAACAAGAATTGTGTGTGGATACTAACTCTTCAAAGGTTGTTTCATCTTTATTTACCTGCCTAGAGACAAGTCCTGGATACTCTGCTGTTTTTTTTAATAAATTAAGATGTGTTATTTGAGTTGCGTGTAAGGGCTACATTTAAATGTTGTTAGTAAAATGGGGATACCACTGATTTGCAGACAAATACCTGGAACACAGTTTGTAGCTGGGAAGTCTGGAAACAATCTGTTTTTCTGTCTCTCTTAAAATGTATTTTACTGTTTAATTTGCTTGACTTTTTAACATCGTAGTTTACATATCTAAGTGTAATTTCTCTGTTTACGAAAGAAAATGAATCATTTCACTTCTATACAAAGGCATAGGGTTTGTTTCAATAGCATCACTTTGCTGGAAGATTATATTAAACATGAAAGTGTTTGATGGCAGCAGGGCAAGTACTATACATTTTTTCTTATCTGAAGGTATTCACACTCAACCTAAGAAGTAGATAAATGAGGAATTCTTATGTCTCCCGGGTATCCTATGCCATCCTGTCATCAGAATTAATCAAGATGATAATGAATACTCAGATTACAAAGAGATGGGAGTGCTCGCGACCAATAATTATTTTTAGAGACCATAATCTAGGTCAAATCCAATTTCCTGTTTTTGACAGGTGGCAAAAATTTTTCAAATTAATGGAATGGGATATGGAAATTTAGGTAATCAGAGGGAAGCACTTCCCCCTCCTCTGTGAAGCTGTGTCAGGAAGGAGAGGGCAGAGGTTCCTCTGCAGGGGAAGGTCTCCATGCATCTCGGTCAAGACCATTGCCTATGCAGAAATGACTGGAGATACCAGGTCTGTGGCTAAAGCCCTGCAAAGCCAATGGAAGGATGTGGCTTGGTCTAAGTTATAACCCCACACAGACTTTTCTCTGCCCCCCACCTCTTCCTGAGCAGGAGAATGGAGAAGGTCAACAGCTGAATGGCTGCAGAGGCATGACAAGGAGATCCAATGCTAAAATGGAGCTAAATCTGCAAAAGAAGGAAAGATAAATAACAGACTCCCTAAACATGTTCTTGGCAAACAGAGCCCAGAAGGAGTATGGTCATTGATAGATAAGAGTGGAAAGGGAGTGACAGATGAACTTTAATATTGCTGCAGGCCTAAATGATTTCTTTGCCTCAGGGGAAGGGGGTGGGAATGAAATTTTAAAAGGCTCTCTGATTGCACTGAAGCGGGTAATAAGGAGCAGCAGATCTTCTGAAACTAAGCAGAAGTAGCAGACCCTCAAAGGCGTAGAGAAATGGGAATTGTTTTCAAAACAAATCACCTCCCACTATAAACAAAGACAGGAGTAAGACTTCACAGCAGAAGACACTTTCATAAAGGCTATGGCACATCAAACAGGAGAAGAGGACAGGCTTCAGAAAAGCAGGTGTGAGGAAGAACACAATTACTGGATATTCATGATGCAGGAAATGTTGAGGTCTGAGAAAAAGATTGGGCTTAGCACATCAATTTGCACTGGCAAGCACTTGTAGGAGATGCCATGCACCACCAAGCAGAGCTTTTGTCCCACCAACAAAGCGACTGCTCATGCTGCTGGCACTGTACACGTGGTGCAAGAGCATCACCCTGCTACATGAGATGTGGCCATGGGCTGGCATTAAATATTTATTTTGTTTTTTCTTGTTTTGCCTCTCTTTTGCAGGGGAAAAAAAAAAAAAGGAAAAAGGAGAAAAACACCCAAACAATCAACAAAAAAAGGAAGAAAAAAAAAACAAAGCAAAACCAAAAGCAAGCAACTCACTGAAAGCATCGAAACTTTCAGGCTGTAAATGTCCTAAAAAATTAATGATCATGCTGTGTTTGCCAAAGACGTGGCACCCAGCACCGAGCCCTGCAATGCCGTCAGCAGCTCCTCTGCCAGTGCCCTGGGGAGGTGGTGGATCTGGCACCCGCAGGGTGCTTTCAGCATTGTTCTGAAAGAAGGGAAACTTCAAACCCTGCACCCATAAATGTTTAGAGGAAATAAATGTATTAGCAAGCAGGATTGCCTCTTTAACAAAGGCCCTCAGGTGATAATAATTAACTGATAATATTGGATAATAAAATCTACATTAAAATAACAAGCTACAGGGCAAGGCTAAGGTTATTACATTATGGTTGAACACACAATTCTTCTTAGTTGGAATAAAGGCTTTGTTTGTTATGTAAGGAGGCTTGGAAAGGTTTATGATGTCCTTGACTGTTCCTTCCCTGATTTAAGAGCTTCAATTTGGCAAATGATGACAGGAAAGTGCATGTTTATCTGTTAGCAGCCCCAACTGGCTTTCTGAAATGAGATTTTTTTTTTTTTCCCAGAATTTTTTAGCATAATCATGGAGAATTAGGCATCAAGCTTCTGATTGCATTAATGAGAGCTTTGAGGTTTAATCTCATCCATTCCGCTTGAAAGACATGTTCCGCTATGCACTGAGATATGTTTTATGGTTATGGTTTTTTCCGTTATATTTGCCCACCATGATAAATAAGGCAAGCTGTTTTCCAAAACTATCCATAAATGAAGAGGATTGGTTTGAGGTTTCAGAGAGAAATTCTTCCTCTTTTTAAGGAGTCCTGCCCATCCCTGCCTTGTAAGTATGCAAACTGAGAAAGCTAAGAACAGATACTGGCATGCACCACTTACTCATCCTTACTTACTTATGATTCAGCAGCATATAAATTATCCATAGAAAGAGGAAAAACAGAAACATTGTAGTGAGAGCACAGATTCCAAAGACCTTTGCAAGACAGATTTTTGCAAAGCCAGCAATCAAACTTCAGTGTGGCTGCACTAAGGCCAGAGGGATATGTATTTTTAAAAGTCTGGGTTGCCAGTAAAAGTGGAAGCAGCATGGTGGGTGAAAGAATTGATAGCAGTGAAGAAACAGGGTGCCTAATTTTAAGGAGGAGCAGGCAATGCTTTGTAGGACTCTGCTGTGGGAATTCCAGTGTTACAGAGATGATGTTATTGCAAATGGAGTTGGAGATGAAACCAGGCTGTGATTGGAAACAGCACGGTTTCTTTAATGCTAGAAGTGATATCGCAATGAATCTGTGGGCACCTCAACGTCATGGATGTTACTGTGTTGCCCATCACAACCCCTGAAAACTGCCTGGCTGTGTCCAAGAGCAAATGCCTCTTCTCTGCCTCAGAGGACCCAAATCCTGCCATGAAATGCAGGAGAGTCTCTGCCGGAGTCTTCAGAAGGCAGTCGAGTGGGTCAGAGGAAATGTGATGGATGGTGGTGGTGTCACAACAGCATGCTAACTTTCTGTGCTGCTCTACATTGGTGGGGCACATGCTATTCTCCCTGTTAGATACCTTGACAGTGAACCAAAATGCATTTGCATGTACCTCTGTGGCAAACCCTAATCAACAATGGATGATAACTGGGACTAATAAATTGATAATAAGTATAAATAAGCAATATCAAAGAATTCATAACCATTTTCATGATGTTCACTGCGTAACTGTCAATTTTAGGAATTCTTTACTGTTGAGATGGCTAAATAACCCAGAGGTCCCAGAGGAGCTAGTCTATACAAGTGTCAAATGCTTGTCACATAAGAAACACTAAGCAGTTTTGGGATAAGTCCTGTTACCCCAAACTGTATGTAACAGCTTAAATTCACTTGTAACTGTTTCAGAAATACCCACATGTCATGGATATCTCGTTCAAAAGCAAAATCAATCTCTTCTCCTTTCCTCCTCAAAGTGCTTTAATATGTTTTAAGCTAGAGAAATATAGGAACCTGCAAAGTCTATTGCATGGACATTCTATGACTTCTCTGTTGGTTCAATTCTGGAAAAAGGACATGCCATCATTTAGGCTTTTATTTTGTGAAAAATGCAAATTTTGTTGGAAGCCATGATAAGAGAGATGGAGCTGTTTCCTGAAACTTAGGTTCTTGCTCAGGACCATAATGAGCTTTCACAAGACATTGGCTGAGGCTGGGGAACAATGACATTCTAAGTCGGAAGCAAGAAGGGAATGTAATGCAGCTGAGCAAGCTCAAGGGGTTCTGATTTTAAACTTTCAAACCCTTGATACCAAGCCTTTTCTCCACATGACACGTTCTTAAGCATGGGCATTTTGTGGATGCTGAAAATGTAAAAAGTATTCAATAAACCACTGAGTGACTCAGGGAAGAAAAATCTATGAAGGGTTGCTAAATATGAATCCACCACCTCTGTTTCAGGAAGTCCTTGAACCACAGATATCTGAAGGTGGATTGGGTAGCGGGGAAGTACCACCATCTCCGCACTTACCTCTTTCCTGGGGTGTGCTGCTGTCTCATGCTGGAGACAGGATGCATGGCTAGACAGACCTTTGCTCTGAACTGCTCTGACCCTTCGTGCGTACTGCAAAGAGGTAATGACTGATCCCAAGCAGAGTGAGACAGATTTTCAAAGTGAGCAAGTAACAACATTGTAAAATCTTGGCTCCTTGCAGCTGCCAACTAAAACACTTGACGAAAGGGTCCCAGTTCTGATAGGAGGCTCAGAGGAAGCAGTGGAAGAAGGGAAAATGAATCCTGTGCACAGCAAGCCTCTTTGTACTCCCAGTACCTGATTACGCCAGCCTGAGAGGCACTGAACAAGATCTGAAAGAAAGTGGCTTTTCATTTCCTCCTCTTTGTACTTTAGGCTACCAGTTCTTGGTGACAACCTTTTCCAAGTTGTTTGCAGTAGTGCAATTCTGTACTATCTACTCTATACTATCCACTTTGCTTTAAGTTGACTGTAAGTAAAGGAAAAAAGTATTATGAGAGCCCAACACCTATCTGTGTTCTGTATAATAGAGTAACACAGGGGTAAAACAGGGAAACAAGTGTGCAAAAACAATAGCAAAGTGAATAATGGGTTTGGGTAGGTATTGAACATTTAAGAAGGCAAACATAGGCAAACAAAGAAATGCAAGGATAAATACTGGCAATACACAATTTTGATGAATAATGTTCTAAAATATTAATTAGTGAATGTCTGGGAACAAGAAATAATAGAGACACTGGGGAGGTGAGGGATGTGAAGGAATTAAGCAAAGATCTGCAGCTACTGGAAAGAGGTTCTGGAGTGGCTACCAAGCAAGAATATGCAGAATCACTTGCAGTTTCCAGGGGAAATGCAATGGTAGAAGGACAGTGTAATGAGGTGATGGCAGACAAAGGGGCTGGGGGAACCAGCAAGACTTCTGCAAATATATCAAGATTAAAAAAAGTAAAACCAGAGTGACAGTAGATTCTATTAATAAATGAGGAAGGCACAGAAATTAATGACTTAAAAACGGCTGAGATATTCAACTCCTTTGTTAGATCTGTCTTGAAGATGAAAAATGCATGAATGAGGTTTGAATAATTAGTAAGGGGTGAAGACACTGTTGGAATCACTACTGATAAAGACCTGTTAATGGAGAACTTGGAAAATGCAAACAGAGACAAAGTTAACAGAAGTCCAGGGAATTAGCTAACGTGTCTGATGATCCAAGAAAAAAGAAAATATCATGGCTAATAACGAATATAGCTAATGGTCACAGTGATTGACCCAGCAAACATAAATCCTACAGATTTATGGACAAATATACAAAGGGAGGGAAGAAGGGTTGTTGAATGCAGGGATTCCCATGGCATCCCTTGAATTTGCAGATAAACTTCTTGTGACTTTGCTTCCTGAGGGATAAAAGAGCCTTGAGCAGTGAGCTGGATGATTTCTAAAAATACATTTTTTTCTGGGCAGTCTTTTTCAAGCAAAAGAAACCCTTTTGCTAAAATGCTTTGAGGTGAGAACTAACATTTGGATTTGCTTGGCATCGTATCTTCTACACAGTTGGTGTCACACAAATAACAGGTACCTGTCTGTAGGCAGTATCAATCTTTGGGAGGAATGCCTTATATATTAATATTTATGTCTGCAAATTGATAATAACAGTTGTGATTGCCACACAATTATACGTAATATATGTTTACACAATAACAGCATTAGAAAACATTCTCCTTTTTACTCAGTGATGAACAGATTGATTTTGTGTTTACACAGGTTATTATTTGTCCTTCTAAATGGAAATGTGAGTGTTCTGGATGGATGTCAACCCAAACCCACCTCACTAATTTTCTTGTGGAATCTGGGAGTGAGTTAAGACTCCAGCATGGCATCAATATAGCAACACACATTGTTAAATTGAAGATATGATATTACCACTTCTGTTTCCTTCAAGATAGGTCCCATTCCTTGTTGGGCTGGAGGTTTGATGATGCAGGCCAGTAGATGAGGACCCCCCTGAAGACATCTGGGCAGGACGATGGCTACAGGAGGAAGAGGAGCCTCCAGCAGGACGTCCATCTGCAGGACTCTGCCGCATAGAATACATGGAGCCCATGCAACTGAAGGCAGAATCGGCAGGATCCACACTATACCGCTTCAGGTTTGCAGGATCAGCCACATAGTCCTCAGGTGTGAATGTTTCTGCTCAGGAAGTCAAGACACAAAAGAAACATCAGTAAAACAGAACCAATTTTAATTAAGACTCTGCATAAAAAAAGATTATTTATGTATTTGCCAAAATGTCCTTTTTTTTTTTATTTATTTTTTTTGGCAAAAAGCTTAATTCCATTTTCAACTTTCAGTACAGACAGCTAGCTCTGGGAGGGATCCTTACTGAAAATTAATAAATAACAAAGGGAAGCACAGCCAGTCAAAAATCAGTAGGATCACAACTGGGGTACTACTATGGCTTGATGTGACTCATCTGTCAGCTCATGGCAATATTCTCTGTAAAGTACAAGGACACTGATTGGCAGGTCCCATTTGCCTCATGGTGCTCCCCCAATACCACCGAGTCTGGAGGACTGTGCAGCTATTTTTTGCTCTGTCTTTCATTTAAACACATGGAAGTTGAAAGGAAGAAGGCAGAGGAGGACAACAGGACAGGGAGTTTGTTGGGTTCATAATGCCTAGCAGTCAATAGGAGGGAGTGAGGTAATAAACCAAAGCGTTCTGGCTGCAATTGCCAAAATTAATCAGAAAATATCTTCAGCTACAGACATCCATCAGACCTGATATCCCACAAGGAGAAGAGGCTTGATGGCTGATGAGCATACCCAAGGTTTATCCTGGGCAGAGATGTGTGAGTGAGTCACTCAGACTCAGCTCCTGTTCAGACATGTGTGATGGCATCATAGTCAACTGCAAATCATTGCTCCAGTTCCTCTCCTCTGTGTTGCACTTTGGAGACTGTGTAGGAGCTAAATACTTTGCTTTTCAGACTCCCAGTTTTGCACTGTTTTAGAGACCTATATTCCCCATTGTTTGGCAGTCTAATGCATGGGCTTGAGGCAGGTCTAACCCCAGGTTTTGCAGTATAAAAGCTTTTTTGCCAATTCCCCTCAGACCTAGGTCCAGATCCATCTTGTTTTGCTTTGTGGACTGAGACCCCTATGTCTGTGTCATCGTACTCTTCTGTACAGTCTCAGTCTCATCCAAACAAGCCTTGATATCCAAGCTCCTTCCTAGTTGCTTTTTTTGTCTTCACAAAACACAGTCAAAGAAAGATCTTCATCCTCCTCATTCCCACTGCTGTTCTCCCCAGAAAACCAGCCCTCCCCTCACCCAGCCCCAGGACCCTCTCCACCACCACCATGATCACCATCACCACAGGATACAAGCAGAGCCCCTAGAAACCTCTCTGAGCTCCAAACCTTCACGTAAACCCTGCAAATACTGGCAACCTGCACTTCAGAGATGCCCACTGTCACTGCGCAAAACAAGGTGCAAACATCTGGTAGGCAGGGACCCCATAGATTAGAAAAGTGCTTCCCGTTGCCCCATGACATTTTTTGAGCTCTTGAAAACGCCACTTTCCTCATCATGCGTAGTCGCCTTCCAGAGACATCTGAGCAGGGTGAAATTACCCCTGTGGTGTTACACATCTCCTTCCCTGCCTGAGCACCATTATCCTCCTGATGTATCGGGCAGCCTTATTGAGTAACAGGAAGAATTTATGCTGTAATTTATGTTACAAGACCCAAACCCCATTGCTAATAGATGTTGAGACTGTGTATAATAGTTTTCCTTTTAATTTATGTTTTAGTCTTTTCCTTTGAAAAAAAAATCCCTTGGCAGCTGTGTACAGAAGTTGATGTTAAACAAACATGATTTAGTTTGACAACTCAAATACTCAAGATTTGTGCCATGCCAGCATCCTGCCTTGTGTGTCAAGCCACAGCACAGATTTTTGTTGCTGTTGTCTTGAAACTTTTTCCCATTCTGGGCCAAGGCTGGGCTTGCCATAAGCCAAACATCAGACCAGAAGGACAGCTGTAAATGTGAAGTTTCCTTGCTTTGGGCACTTGCCTTTGCAACTGCGAGTAACTTTCCTTTAGCACTTTTTTTTTCCCCTTAGATAATTTGGATTCTTACAGCATGCATTCAGGTATCCTGCTGCTTTCTGCTAAGGTTTTCTGAGCCCAATTCTCACACAAATACAGATAGGGAGTAATTCAATTGACTTCAGTGGAGTTCAGCTACTGTAACACTAGCATAAGAGAAATGGGAATCAGACGCTGAACCTTTCTCCCTAACCTCCGACAGATGCCAAAATTGTATAGCAATTGAGCTAAATACCTTGCTTTTCAGACTCCTCCCAATAAACCAAAGAAAATCCAATCAAGCCTCCTCATTCAAAGAATTTAATTACTGTGTAGAACACTTGCAATAAAAGCCTCTTACGCATAAAGAAGACAGCTTTTTCTGCAGCATCCTGCCTGCACCACATGGAATAATTACGCCTCTTGTGAATCATTACCTCTTTATTCCAGGAAAAGAATGCTCTTTTAATACGATTACAATATGAAGAAGACACAGACTATCAAAAAAACCAAACAGTGTATTAAAAGAGCCCTGCGAAATAAACAGCATACAGCTTTTATTGCTATGGATATAAATTGCTCCAAAATTTGTGAGCATACACCAGGGAATTTTTGACTTATGTCAGAGTCCCTCAGTAGTCTCAGTGAAATAAGACATGCGCAGGTGATCCCTGTGGATGGACGCCCACAAGTTGTGTATGGCAAGGAGCCAGACACTGCCAGTTCTCTTCCTGACCCTGCCTCACACTCTTTCCTTGATCTAGATCAATTTATTCCATGTCTCTGCTTTGGGCTCCAGATTGGGAGTAATGGTGCCTATTGCTGTGGACCAAGCAGGAGCCTCCATCCATTACTGTTTGAAACATGCCACAGTGGAATGTGCTCTGGGAATTACAAAGTCCTACTCATATCTTCATTGACAGGAGGTGAGCAGGGATCATCTCAAGCAGCCAGGTTTCTAAGCTCCTCATCTTCAAGTTGACATGAGGAGTCAGTGATTACAAGACCAACTCATCAGAGTCACCTCCTCCTGACCAAAAGAAGCTCGTGATGAAATGCAGGTCACAATTAGCTTAGGAAAAAGGAGACTGTGCATTTAAGTATGTATGGTTACAGGGTTTAAATCACACAGTTTTGAAAGGTGCTGGTCAGCTTCTGTGCTCCCTGCTGAGCACAGGCTGCTTTGTAAAACTGCACAAGCTGGTGCACCTTGAGCAACCCATGCCCTGCAACAGTCTGCCCACTCCAGGAGAGACCCACCACGTGGGAAGGAAGAGGCAGGTGGGCCCAGGAGACTTCCAGGGTACAGAGAGATCCATTATGCCCTGTGGGGTTGACACAGTCCCTGGTGACACTTCAGCTCAGGAGGAGACATCTGCATTTCATGACACCCCTTCACAGCAGCAGAGAAGGAAGTGAAGGTGACTGGGGACAGTCTGTATGGGTTCACCAAGAATCAGTCACACCTGACCAACCTGGCTGCCTTCTATCATAAAGAAATTGGATTTGTGGGCGAAGGGAGAGAAGTGGTTGTTATTTGCCTTGGCTTCAGGAAGGCTTTCAACATGGTCTCCTACAGTATTCTTGCTTCCAAATTAGAACATTATGGCTGGGATGAGTGAGAAACTGGTTGAATGATCATGTTTAGTGGGTAACAGTTAATGGGTTGTATGGAGGCCAGTAAAAAGTGGGGTACTGCAGGAGCCTAATCTGTCTTCCCACCTGAACTGCCCTCTGATCCTATGACTGACGTCTTCTCCACTCCAAGCAGCAGCCATAGATGGCAGGAGAGGACCATGGCAAGGGCTCGTGAGGGATTGTCCAGAGTCTTTTACAATGGCACAGAAGGCAGAGGGAGGGACAGGCTTCACTGTTCAGAAACTACAAAAGACTGTGGAAGGTCTTTGTGTTCATATTTCTCCAGCTCCTTGTTAGTTTGTACCATGAAAAGCTGCATGAGCTGGGGTTCCACCAAAATGTGTGAAAATATCTGCATTTTGTAAGCTCCCGGAAGACTTTGTAATGTGCATGGCTTTCATAGCTACTAATCCCACTTCGACCAATTAGGGAAAAACATGTTTTCTAAGACAATAAAAGAAAACATAACTCTCTATTGAAGTTTAAAATGCAACAGTTTCATAAATCTGTAGCTTAGCGCTTCTGTATTCTGTTGCACTTCTGTATTTTATTTTCTAGATAGTCAGCAGAAGGGCAAACACTAGTAAGAAATTGATACACAATGTTTTAAAGCAGGATTTATGAGGAATCTGTTTGGGCCTTTGTTTTAAGCACAGTAGTGCCCATTACAACTGTTCACCTCCCTGAGATGCTTTTCCTTTCCGTGAATGGTCCACAAGAACTAGATTGAAAAGCCCAAGGTGGTTACATCCAGCGCACCTTAAAATGCAGCAAAGAGGAGAGAAAAAAACCCAACTGTTTTCTCAGTTAAAAAAATCACATTTCTTTAGCTGAGTTTCTTCAAAGTAACAGCCTGTATGGTTACTAGCCAAGGTCCAGAAGATGGGTCAGGTCAACTGAGAGTTAAACCAGCATGAGAACCTGCAGCTCAGCTCACATCCCAGCTCTGCTGCAGACCTCTGGAGTGACCTTGGTCAGGTCATCTCTGGTCTCCAGTTCTCCATTAGGATGAAGTAAAACACTTGTTTTGTCTCTCACATCTGTAACATGTTAAGTCGTTTGCCTTGGCAGTATCTTTATGCAGCTACAGTGCACCACAGGGTTGTATACTGCATATGTGAATGCGGAAAACGTACAGTGCACCTCTGCTAGCACCTGGGGATAGACACTCCAGAGAGACAAAAAAAAATGATGCCTTTCCCATTGTGCATTAGGAAAGTAAATGAAAATCAATTTTAAGTCAAGCTGGAAATGAAGAAGGGCATATACCAGGAAAGATGATCCTTAGTTGACATTTTCCTGAACAGATCTAATCTCTCACTTTTTCTTCTTTATCTTAAAAAAAACATCAAAACCCCAGACAAACGTAGTCTGCTAAAATCTCTCCTATAGATAAAAGCTCTTTCTGCATTCCAGAGACACTCTCTAGTCTGTGTTCTCTCTTCTCCTCCCAGACCAAAT